TCAAGAACATATGTATATCTTATGGAATGTCCCACGAATATTTCGAAGTATTGCAATCACTTCATATTATGGTGGAAGGTACAAATATACCAAGTAGCACAGTTTGGTGTAGAGAATAAAATATATTAAAAATTTTAAATCTAACAAATATTTGTAGTCACTTAACAATAGTATCCCATACATATACAATCTATAATGTGTTTTGTTTGAATTAGCCACTATTATAACATCAGTTCATAATAATGACAATAATCCTAAACCCTATTCATATTATTTTTTTCCCATATAATCACAGCCAATTGTTTTGTTTACATTTTTAAATGTAGGTTAACTCAATCAACAACAGCAATATATATTTAATTTTCGATTGAAAATCGAAAAAAATTCAAATTATTACGAGTACTTTCGTTAATTTCATAAGTTGACTCAAAAAGTGATCCTAAGTGCCTCAGTGTGGTGTAGGGTATAAATATGTCATTAACAAACATATTAATTTATTAAAATAATCCAATCCAAACATATATTTATAATCAGTTAACAATAGTATCATTTAAAAATATCTATAAACTATTTTGTTTGAAATAATCACTAAGATAACATCAGATCAGAAAAATTGCAATATTCCTAAACTGTAATCATATTATTTATCTTCTTCGAAAAATCTCAGACAATGGTATAATAGTATTTGTTTATCTTTTTCTAAATATATGCTAACAACAATTTATATTTAATTTTCAATTGAACTTTGAATCTTCATGATAGTTTTCAGTATTTTATTGTTATGGCTTTTAGACCAATTGCCTTATCAATGATGTAGGTGGACTCGGCCCATCTTTTAAAAACATCGATTATACGGATTGTAAAAAAAATTCCTACATTTTGTATTAATTTTACCATGGATTAAAAAAAATACACAAAACCTCGTCCAATATTTATGGAGTACATTTGCAACAAAATATTGCCAATTTTGTTCAAAAACAACCAGCAGTCTGGACATAATGACACAGTTATTTATTATTCCCCTAATTAATTTTGCTATAAACAAAGTCTAAACATAGTAACAGTAGCACCCACCCACCCCACTGACCAAGAACGTGATATTCACATGTATCGTGTGCTATTAATACTCGACACGTTTTATAAAAACAATAGGAAAACCACAGCCAACCATATTTGATAAGTGCTAACTTAATGTCACACCCTCAAAATACTACTTTCTTATCTCGGTCATAAAATTGTAGAATAATTTTATAAATGAATGTTTTCACGTTTCTTATTTCAAAGGTATAACAATAATTGGTAAAATAATCAATGTTTTCCACCACAAACAGCAAATGTATTTGCTTCAGCATTTTATGACTTTATAATCGATAAGTTTATTATGTTTCATTCGATCCGACTTGGTAGGTTTGTTTTCCTGTTTAGTGAAATGTTCGGAAAATTATGTTGACATAGATTAGTAAACTAGACATAGTGCATTTTAGCGTTTCTTGAAATATGCTGTTGGCAACTGGTACAACAAATGTTTCCATTATTCATTAAGAAGGTTAAAAACGCTGGAGAGTTCTAGAACATGGGAATATCTAAGTGCGCTAGTTCAGAATTTCGGATATGCTTTTCAACCGGATTAGCTGGTTTTTAGTACTTTGTGTTCACAGTGGGTAACACATATTCCTTTTATAAAATAAAGATATTGATCTCCTCTTCGGGGTAGTCCGGATATAACCATACCCCCAGTATTTTCGGTATTTTTTTGGAGCTTAGGTACATTTGTATACCCTTCACTACACTGTGGTCTTTGCTAATATGTTTGTAACAGGCAAAAGGAAACGAGATAGACACATAGTTCCTTTTGAGAATAACTTTTAAGTCGATTTATGCATGTCCGTCCGTCCGTCTGTTAAATTGTAAGCAAAGTACAGGTCGCATTTATGATCCGAATTGGATGAAATTTTGCACAGGTCACTTATTTGGCCCAAGGAAGCGCCCTATTCAAATTGGGAAAAATCGGTTCAGATTTATATATAGCTCCTATATATTTTTTCGTCCGATTTAAGGTAAATGGTGTACCAAAGTCCCCATATATCTTTCGATTTGCACGAAATTTGGTACAGCGTACTTAATTAGGTCTAGAATGGTGTGTGTTAGATTTCCTGAAAATTGACCCAGATTTTGATATAGCTCCCATATTCGGCATAAAGTACTAAATTAAGTCTACAGTGATGTGTATTAAGTTTCATGAAAATCGGTTCAGATTTAGATATAGCTCCCATATAAATTTTCGTCCAATTTTATGTAAATGGTGCACCAAACTCCCAATATTTTGCACACCGTACTGAGAGAAGTCCAGGTTGATGTCGGTGATGTTTTGTCGATATCGGTTTACAGTTAGATATAGCTCCCATATATAGTTTCGTCTGATTTTAGGTAAATGTTGCACCACACTCCTAATATTTGTCCGACTGAGACAACATTTTGCACAGCGCACTGAATTACGTTCAGATCGATGTTTAGTTGAAATCGATTCAGATTAAAATATTGCTCCATTATATATTTTCGTTCGATTTTTATACTCTTCACCACATTGTGGTACAGGGTATTATGTCCTTGTGCATATGTTTGTAACAGGCAAAAGGAATCGAGATAGACCCATGGTTCCTTTTGAGAATATGCATAGAATCACTTTCTGGGTCGATGTATGCATGTACGTTCGTCTGTCTGTCCGTTCGTCCGTCCTTGAATTTTTGTGAACAAAGTACAGGTCGCATTTATGATCCGATTTGGATGAAATATTGCACATGTCACTTATTTGGCCCAAGGACGAACCCTATTGTAATTGGAGAAAATCGGTTAAGAATTAGATATAGCTCCCATATATAGTTTTATCCGATTTCAGGTAAATGGAGTACAAAGAGTCAAATTTAGGCCGATTGGCACAAAATTTTGCACAGCGTACTGAATTAGGTCCAAATTGATGTATGCAGAGCTTTGTTTTCTCCGATTTTATGTAAATCGTGCAACATACTATCGATATTTGTCCGATTGAGACAAAATTTTGCACAGAGTATTGAATTAGGTCTAAATTGATGCATGTCAAGTTTGGTATTGGATTTTGTGTCGAGATAAATTTTGGATAACGTACTGAGTTGTAGCATAGAAAATGGAGGATGCCACGATTGCTCAAATAAGTCCATTTATATATTGATCTTTTACATATTTTGCTCGTTGATTGACATTCAATATTTCATAAATTCGGATTGGTACCCAAGTTGTGGTTAAGGGTACCATATAGTCGGTCCCGTCCGACTTTTGAACTTTCCTTACTGGTTTTAACCAAGTGGTTGTAATTTGGTATTTAAGATTTCCATTTGGTACGAAATCTACCTACTAAAGAATACTAGAGTTGGGTAGTTCCGGAACGAACTAGTTCGTTGGAACTATTCCGAGAAAGGAACGATCGGAACTAGTTCCAGCTCATTAATTAATATAGTTCTTTTTTCTGATCTCGTTCCTTTTTGATCTCAATCTTTTTTCTTTTCCTTTTTTCTCGTTCTTTTTATCTGACTCGTTCCTTTATTCCCATATTTTCCAAAGGAACTATAAAGAGCATGGATCAAAATGGATATGGATCAAAAGAACTATATGGAGCAAAGGAGCTATATATGAAAAAAAAACAAAAAACGAAAAAAAAAACGATGAAAGAGAGAAATTCAAAGGAACTATCTATGAGTCGGAACTATATGGAGCAAAGGAACTATTTGGAGCAAAGGAACTGTATGGAGTAAAGGAACTATATGGAGCAAAGGAACTATATAGAAAAAACGAAAAAAAAAACAAAAAGAATGATGATAGAGAGAGATTCAAAGGAACTATATAGGAGTCGGAATTTTATGGAGCAAAAAACTATTTGGAGCAAAGGAACTGTATAAAGTAAAGAAACAGTATGGGGTAAAGGAACTACATTAAGGAACTAGTTCCTTTACAAAAAGGAACTAGAAAGATCGATCCGCTAAGTGAACTAGATTGCCCAACTATAAACAATACCACTTTTGGTGTAGCCCCAATATAACGGCCCCCCAAATATCTGGGGGGTACCGAATAAATTATTGGACTCAGTGATGGTGTAGAGTTTCATATGGTCGCCCCATTCCGAAAAAGTATGTTCATGTAAATAAGCAGAATTGTCGATTTTGGCGATAAGCATTGCAAAAGCTACAAATGCATCCACAAAAAGGAACTACTTTTTAAATAATCGTAACGTAACCTCTAAGTGAACTTAGAATTGCCCAAGCATATTTGAATACTTTTTTAAATCGTGGAATTGTATAAACGTATACCTGAACCAGAACCGATTTTCATCCTCAAAAGTAAACATTGCATCAATTGGCATAATACACTGTATATACCATATATATACCACAGGTTGAGGATGTTGAGGATGGGTAGGGTAATAATTCTTTTTTAGGGATTTGTTATCCTATGCGATACCACATTAAAATAATACGATTGAAAAGTGCCAAAACTCCTCGCCATACCGAAATGTTGGGGTATTTTTGATTGAGTAAACAATTTTTTTCATTTGTTCATAATGTTGTAGCCGCCTTACAATGGTATAGCTTAATGTTCGGTACTTTTAAGTGTCATCAATTGGGTATTTAATTTCCTTATAAATAAACTTCAAGTAAAAAATCCAAAAAGTTTTGAACTTGACGATGTTTCTATTTCTATTAATTTGTATATTTATTTTTTTCGAACCAGTTTCGCAATGTACACCGTTGTTTCAAAATGTGAACCAAAGTTAATGTAGCTATCTCCCACCCTTCCAAATATAAACATAATCGTAAAATTTGAATATAAATAGTTTTTTTGTCTTGGTAGACATATAATTATCAGTTTTTTAATTGTTTTACAATTTTATAAATTGTTAAAACCTGCACATATTTCTTAGCCTATGAGAATAGTTATTTTTTCTTACGTCCTAATTTTTTACGTTGAAGTGGTTACACATTCATCTCTTCATCACACATTGTGAGTCCATCACCAATGCAAGCTGCATAGGCCATCAAGTGAGGAATGGTATTTTGTTGCAAAACACCGTTGAATAAATGAGCAAAAGGACCTGAAGCAAAAACACCAACATCATCACCCGAATGATGACCAGAGTACGATTTTATATAGCTGGGATAAATGGTTTCAATATTGCGTGGAATTTTTTCCAAGTCCATACGTTTACCATTTTCGTCCATATACTGATCACGACCCAATGGATAGCTGAGTGTGGAATACTTAAGACCATCAGCTGCGACATCGTTTGGATTTAAGCCCAATATGGATGAACCACGACCGGGATAACCATTTATAGTTAAACCATGACCGTGATCGGCTGTGACAACAATTAGTGTCTCTTCGGGGTTTGTCATGTCGCGGGCTAGCTGAATTGCCTTTTCAAATTCCAAAGTCTCGTCCAAAGACATGGCCGCCTTATTTTCATGATGGGCATTATCGATGTTGCCACCTTCAATAAATACGAAATAACCCTGTTCGTTGCGCTGCAATAGTTTCAAAGCTGTCTCCGTCATTTCAGATAATGAAGGTTGGGATTTATCAGCCACAGCTTGATAGTCCATTAATTTCGAATGGAAGATACCCATAATGTGAGAAACTTTAGTGGTGTTTACATTCAAGAGTTCATCGCGATTTGTAACCAAGGCACCATCTGGATGCATGATCTGCCAAGTGTCAAGGAGATTTTTACCATCTTCACGTATGCCATTATTGCCATGGGCATCTTTGACTGTGTTTGGCAAAAATTTGGCCATACCACCGCCCATCATAACATTGAAGTTACGTCCGGGCTCTTGCAGCACAAGTTGTTGGGCCATATCTAGGCATGTGTTGGGATCTTGGCCATAGGCCTTTACATCAGTATCACTTTCGTATAAACGATTGGCAACATGGGCATAAGTACCAGCAGGACTGGCATGGGTCAATGTGGTTGTGGTGACGAAACCAGTTGCTTTACCGGCTTTTTGAGCCCATACAGCAATCGATGAGACATGATTAGCTTGATCCATACTGGCACTGCAGTTGTTATATTCCACATTGGCGCTAACACCGATGGTTACACTATTTGCTTTTACACCACACAAATATGCCGTGGCAGTACAGGCCGAATCGGGAACTTGGGCATTGGCACAATATGTCTAAAATAAAACAATAAAAGTAAGATCCTTCAATTTCTTTATTCACCAAATAATCGACTTACTTTGCTCAATCCAATATGAGGGAATTTTTCAAAACTCAAGGCATCTTCTTCGCCATTGCGATTTTTACGTTGACCTTTGAGTATGCGAGCAGCTGTCACTGTAGACAAGGACATTCCATCGCCCAGGAACATAATAATATTCTTGGCTTTATTAACATTCAGTTTTTGTTTTTCTACAGCCTTCAGTACTTCACTCCTTGCCAAGTTCCGCCAAAATTCCGGATCTTTTTCTTCTTCAGGTGTTGTTTTGTTTACGCCCATATTTTCCACGACAATTGTATTTCTTGTATTCGCTGTTTGACCTGCTAAATGTTGTGGATTATGGAAATTGGAGTCGTCTATAATGCCTCCGTGGACCAAGGTTATGGTCAGGGATACAATGAATATTTTCAAAAAGTAATTTGCCATTTTCTTGGATTGATGTGGTACCAAGTTAAAGTTGGCTTTGAAATATTCTTAGTGACTACTGAGTTAGCTGATCGAAATTTTGGTATTTATACTAAAATTGATATTTGATCGTAAACAAATTTTCCTATCATATGCTCTCACACCTTAAAAATTTAAAGAGAGCCTATTGTTTAGTTTTAAATGAAAGTAGTACAAGAAATATTGTCGTGTATGTGATTGGATTCAGATAAGCTAATATTCATAAATATCGAATGATAGGGCGGAGTCTTTCACAGATTGTTGGCTATTTGGAACCGATTGTGATTATATTTCGTTAATTCGTTAAAAAGCGAAAAACTTTTTCTAATTACTTATCGCCTACACCGATTAGAACGAGGTAAATAATTTGAGGGTTTCTTTTAGCATGTAGGCCAACATTGAGCGGTTAAATTAACATTATAATTTAATACGGCAGGCCATATCATGTTAATAAAAACATATTTTTTTAACAAAATTATAATAATCAAACAATATTAACAAATAGCTATACCCTACACAACTATGTTGTCAGGTTATTATAGCTTTGTACAGCCCCACCTTTAAGTATACCGATCGTCATATATCGACTAGCTGAGTTGATCCAGACATGTCTGTCCGCTCGTCTGTCCATTATAACTTGTAAACACGACACAGTTATGGACCAATCTTCACGAAATGTTGCATGTAGGATGGGTTCTGGCCAATGAAGACCCCTATTGTTTATTTATACCCTTCACCACACTGTGGTACAGGGTATTATGTCTTTGTACATATGTTTGTAACAGGCAAAAGGAAACGAGATAGACACATGATTCCTTTTGAGAATATGAATAGAATCATTTTCTATGTCGATTTATACATGTTCGATCGGCTGTCCGTCTGTCTGTCCATGTTAAATTGTAAACCAGGTACAGGTCGCATTTTTGATTCGAATTGGATGAAATTTGCCACTGCTCATTTATTTGGCGCAAGGACGAACCCTTTTGAAATTGGGAAAAAAATTGGTTTAGATTTAGATATAGCTCCCATATATATTTTCGTCCGATTTTAGGTGAATGACGCAACAAAGTCCCTATATATACTTCGATATGCACAAAATTTTGTACCGAGTACTGAATTAAGTCTAGATTGATGTGTGATAAATTTCGTAAAAATCGGTTCAGATTTAGATATAGCTCCCATATATATTTTCGTCCGATTTTATGTAAATCGTGGACCAAAGTGTCTATATATCCTTCGATTTGCATGAAATTTGGCACAGCGTACTTAATTAAGTCTAGAAAGATGTATGTCCAATTTCGTAAAAATCGGTTCAGATTTAGGTATAGCTCCCATATATATTTTCGTCCGATTTTAGGTAAATGACGCAACAAAGTCCCTATATATACTTCGATATGCACGAAATTTTGTACCGAGTACTGAATTAAGTCTAGATTGATGTGTGATAAATTTCGTGAAAATCGGTCCAGATTTAGATATAGCTCCCATATATATTTTCGTCCGATTTTAGGTAAATGGTACACCAAAGTCCCTAAATATGCTGCGATTTGCACGAAATTTGGCATAGCGTACTGAATTAAGTCTAGAAATATGTATGTCCAATTTCGTAAAAATCGGTTCAGATTTAGGTATAGCTCCCATATATATTTTCGTCCAATTTTAGGTATATAGTGCACCAAAATCCATATATATATATCCCTTGATTAGCACGAAATTTGGTATAGCGTACTGAATTAAGTCTAGAAAGATGTGTGTTAAATTTCGTAAAAATCGGTTCAGATATAGATATAGCTCCCATATATATTTTCGCTTTTAGGTAAATGTTGCACCATATATATTTGGCATAGAGTACTGAATTAAGTCTAGAAAGATGTGTGTTCAATTTTAAAATTCGGTTCAAATAGATATAGCTCCCATATATATTTTCATAAATCCTTCGATTTGCACGAAATTTGGCATAGCGTACTGAATTAAGTCTAGAGAGATGTGTGTTAAATTTCGTATCAATGGGTTCAGAGTTAGATATAGCTCCCATATATATGTTCGTACTATTTTATGTAAATGGTGCACCAAAGTCCCTATATATCCTTCGATTTGCACGAAATTTGGATTTATAAGTAAATGAAGAGCTCAAAATGTGGGCGAATGCACCAAACATACTGAAATAAGTGTAACCTAACATGTGACAGGTTTCGGTGAAATTGGTTTTTAATTATCTCAGATAATAAAAAAAAACATGTCAGTTATCTAGAAAAGGTACTAGGAAATCCCCCTAACATTACTTCAAACTGAGTTATTATAATTCGGGGTAAATGTTGCAGCAATATAATGATAACATCAGAACGCTATAAGTACATTGATTCCGTCTCAAGAGAAACAACGTTTCATGAAATCTGATCCTATAACTTCTTCACTATATCTCAAGATACATTTTGAATTCTTATAATTTCTTCCAGTTCACCCATAAGAACTATAAAAAATGGGTTGAGGCGTCGGGTTAGTTGCCCACTCTCGGAAAACCCAACCTACTATGAAAAAGCTAAGAAAAAGAAAGCCAAACGACCCCCGCAAAAGTATAAAGGACCACGATCTGCAAATTTGTAGTGTTCGTTTTGGCGGATGTACTCGAGAAGTACATAGCCGATATTATTGCCTTACAGGAAATGCGATGGAAAGGGACAGGCGTAAGTAAATCAGACGATTACGCCCTGTATTATAGCTGCCATGAAACGAGACATGAATTTGGCTGTGGTTTTATGGTTAACAGGAGAATAAAAGACCTCGTCTCCAGATTCACTCCAGTAGATGAGCGAATTCCTATAATCCGTATAAAAGCGAAGTTCTTCTACATCAGCCTCATTTGCGCCCATGCTCCGACCGAAGGTAAAGAGGAACAGACCAAAGACATATTTTACGAGCCCCTAGAAACAACCCGACTTAATGTAGCAGCAAAGATGCGATCTAACACAACACGGAAACTCGACGTCGAAAAGCTGCAAACACAACAGGTAGCCGAGGAATACTTCGCTCAATTTACCCATGTGCTTGAAGAAATCACTTCTTGTCCCGATAATAGTATAGAAGCACAATGGCAAAGAAATGCCCACTCGATAAAAACTGCAACAAAATCAACACCTGTGTAACAAAAACCACCACCAAGAAACCCGTGGTACGATCAGGAGTGTCGTAATGCTACTGCTGTGAAAAACGCAGCGTATAGGGCAACCCTACAGACAGTAGTAACACGTAACGTGATGGAGAATTATCGGGAGAAAAGAAGAGAGGAGAAACATGTTTTCAGAAAGAAGAAGAAAGAACAAGAAAAACATGAGCGTGAGCAAATCGAGATGTCCGGAAATTTTACCAACGAGTAAAACACCATACCGAAGGCTTTGGTACAGGTACATCCTCCTGTAGAGATGAAGAAATAAACCTGGTGACAGATACAGGCAGCGTGTTGAGGATCTGGAAGGAGCATTTTGAAAAGCTTCTGGTATCAAATAGTGGCGTTGAAGAAGATACCCCAGAACCAATAAGAGACGAGTGTATACCACCTCGGCTCAAGAACAACAAAGCAGCAGGAGCCGATGGGTTACCAGCCGAACTGTTCAAGACTGGTGGCCAGATGCTGGTCAGGAGCATGCACCAGCTGATTAGTACAATTTGGCTAGATGAATGTATGCCCAATGATTGGAACCTCAGCATCCTGTGTCCCGTGCACCAAAAAGGAGACAAGACAATATGAGCCAACTATAGAGGAATTAGTCTCCTTCCTATCGCATATAAAGTGTTATCCAGTGTGCTGTGTGAACGATTGAAGCCAATGGTCAATGACATCATTGGGCCATACCAATGCGGCTTCAGACCTGACAAATCCACCATTGACCAGATTTTCACTCTGCGCCAAATCCTGGAAAAGACCCACGAAAAACACATCGACACATACCACCTATTTGTCGACTATACAGCCGCATTCGACAGCCCTATCCGTTCAGAGGTGTTTAAAGCCATGTCTACGTTCGGCATTCCTGCAAAATTAATACGGCTATGCAGGATAACTTTAAGTGGCACAAGATCAGCAGTTAAAGTAGGAAAGGACCTATCGGAGCCCTTCAATACCCAACGAGGATTCAGACAAGGTGACAGTTTGTCGTGTGACATTTTTAACATCCTACTGGAAAAGGTCATACGAGACGCAAAGGTGAACAGAAATGGCACTCTGTACACCAAACAACACATGTTACTCGCCTACGCCGATGACATCGATATAATGGGTCGAACATTGCGAGCGGTAACAGCCACATTTGAACAAATTGACTACTTGCTTCGAGGTAGTTTAAGACTTTATATACCTTGGTACCGCCATAAATAAAACGAATGACATCAGTTTTGAAATTCGGATTGTGATGGCCAACCGATGCTACTATGGTCTGAGCAAACAACCCACCTCCCGCCAGACCAAACTCAGACTTTACAAGACGCTGATACTACCCGTGCTATTATATGGATCAGAAGCATGGGTACTTGCGCAAGCAGATGAGGGGGGCAGCTCTTGGGATGTTGAAAAGAAAATTCTCCGAAAGATCTACGGGCCGGTGAACACGAGCTCTACAATTTATTCGCGGACATCGACATAGTCAGTCGTATTGAGCTGCAGCGACTACGGTGGCTAGGCCATGTTGTGCTGATGAATGAGAATGCCCCAGCTCAAAAGGCATATAAAAACGAGCCTACTGATGGTTCCCGTAGAAGGGAAAGGCCACGAATTAGATGGAAAGACCAAGTAGAAAACAACATCGTGGTCTTCCAAATTGGTGGATTTGCGCACAAGACCGACGCGCTTG